ACCTTGACAAGAAGAAACCCTATAGCATGATGCTGCCATGGCCAAGTTTCAGAATAAGGATGGCATTTTGTTTGTTAAAAACAAAACAGTCTTTTCTGCTCAGACAGAAAAGACTTCCTTCATCTGACTCCAAAGGCAGATAAATATTTCTGGGTGGCTTGAAGGACTTTGGGTTCTTTGGTTGTGGAAGCAAAACCCTGGAATGATTCATGACCTATTTATTATGTTTTTTCTTTCTACATGATTTTTTAAGCTCTGTTTTCTAAATTGATCAGATTGTTTTAATAATTAGATCATATTTGGTTTATTTTTTTCTAGGTGGAATGACCCAACCACAGCACTTAAGGCTGGTTTTAATTGGTGCAGAACTGGAAGGCAAGAGCTCAGCTGGCAACACCATTCTGGGAAGACATGCATTCTGTGTTAATGATAGCGGCAGCAGAACAACCCACAGTGAAATCAGTCATGGTGTGGTTGAAGGAAGGCGGCTCACAGTGGTCGATTCTCCTGGATGGTTTTACATCAACACCCTTCAGGAAACCAGTGAGATGGATAAACTGGAAATAGAGAACAGTGTGAATCTGTGTCCTCCAGGACCACATGCTGTGCTGCTGGTTGTTGGCCTTGAAACCGCAACCCATGCAACATATCTGAGGTCTGTCCAGGACCACATGAGCCTGTTTAGAGAAGAAATCTGGAAACACACACTGGTTCTGTTCACTATGAGTGACGGATTGGGGAGGAAGACTGTGGAGGAGCACATAGAGAGTGAGGAAGGTCTGCAGTGGATAGTGAACAAGTGTGGGAACAGGTATGTAGTGTGAATGAGCCAATTTAAATTATTTTAATGTACATAAATGAATCAGTTTTATGACCTATTAAAATTTGTGTTAATTTAAAACCAGGATTTCTTTTGTATCTTATCCAGGCTTAAGATTTATTTTCACTAGATTAAGTGTCAATAAAATCTTTTAAGAAATATGATCATGAATGCATGGATACAGAATCACTAATATTATTTATCAATTCACACTAAGGTGTATTTGCTCATGAATTAGTGAAACCCAAAGGACAAACAAATACATCTAAAAAACAAAGATGCAATATTTGGAATATGATATTTCAAGTATCATGCCTTCATGCTTTCTCTTCAATCAACTCTGACTTTTCTTATTTCACAAACCTGAAGTTTATTTTACGTCAGGTTTGTGCATTAAGGATACTTTGGGTTCTGACTGTTTATTTTCTCAGAACCATCTTACATTTCTGCTCTAATTGTTCTGTGAACTCAGCCGCTCTCAGCTGAAGGGAGAGTCTACTTCGGTTCTACCTGGAGGTAATCTCGACCAACTTCACACAAAAATTGGCAAATTAGCATAGTACCTACTTACTTTATGATGTAAATAACATTGTCACAGTCAAAATATGAATATTTTGTAATTATTCTGGCTCTGGGCTAGGTTATTTTTATGAGTTCTTTGGTTCTATATGACTAACTCTCCCAAATCTCAACGTTAAGCAGTGTAGGCTCCAAGGAATTGCTATGATGGGCTCCTCAACCAATCAGAATCGTATTTTTAACAATATTAGGTACCAAAGAAAAATAAATGAAATACCAAAATTGACAACAATCTGACTGTAGACATTTTTTTTTTCATATTTAAAGTTTCATATTTTTTATCAATAAACAGTTTAACCTTATGAGCAATAATAAAGCAGTTCTTCTCAAATATGTGGTTGTTTGCCCTAAAGGTATCATGTCCTGAACAACAAGGACCACAGTGATAAGATTCAGGTAAAGGAACTACTGGAGAAGATTGAAGAGATGTGTGCAGGAAATGAAGATCCTTACTATGAAGTGGAGCTGGACCGAGCAACAGAGCTAGAAACCAAGAGAGAGACTGGAGACAAGATGGCCAAGAGGTTGAAGATGATCAATGAGAGACAGTCAAGAATAATGAAAGAGTTGTTTGGAGGTAAGCAAAAATCTTCAGACATTTGAAATCACATGAAATCAGTGTTATAATGTTTAGATTAAAACATCTCTGCATTTTATTACAGGTGAGAGAAGTCCAGTCAGTGACATCAGGATTGTTCTTGTTGGCCAAAAATGTTCAGGAAAGAGTAGAGCTGGAAACATGATTCTGTTCAAGGATCTATTTGACCTGAGTTTCAACATGACTCGGTCGAAGAAGGTAACCATGTCTGCTGCCTGAACAGAAACATTTTACTGTTTAACAGTCAGCGTGTAGGTTTCTGGTATGTATTTCAAAATATATATATTGTTTGTTTGCTTTATATGATTTCAGAACCAACAAGATCAGAGAGAAAATGCAAAATGTGTGAAACATGAAGGACGGTTTAATGGAGTAAAAGTCTCAGTTGTTGAAACTCCAGGCTGGTTCTCAGACCCAACACCACCTGACTGGATCAAAGATGAAGTTCTCCACAGTGTCTCCATGTGTTCTCCTGGACCTCATGTTTTTCTCCTGCTTGTTCCCATCCTCAGATCTTTCACAGAGAAAGATCTCAAAGCTCTGCTGGAGATCATGAAGCCATTAACAGAGAGAGTGTGGAGACACTGCATGGTTCTGTTTACCAGGGGAGACTGGATCAATGACGTCCCTGTAGAGAATTACATCGTCAGAGAGGGAAAGGAGCTCCAGGAGCTTCTGGAGAAATGTGGGAACAGATACCATGTTCTAAACCCCAATTGTTCTGATTTCTCTGTTCAAGTCAAAGAGCTGTTCCAAAAAATTATTGACATGGTAACACATAACAAGGGAATCTTCACAACTGAAGGCAAACAAAATAAATTTCAGGTATTTCTCTGGCAAAAACAACAAATAGAAGAAGAATGGAACAGGAGAGAACAGGAGCTGGTAGAGCGAGTGTTGAAGGTTTTAGCACAGGAACCAGAGGAACCAACAGTACCTTCTGCGAGAACCGCACAGAGCATGGATGACTTTCACATTCCTTACAGTAAGTCTGCCATGATTTAGAAATGTATTTATTCACAGCTGCATGTTTTCCAATGAATAAAATATTCCATTTTCTGTTTCAGTGAGTGGAGATGTTTTATCAGAATATGGAAGCATTCCGGAGTTCATGAGACCACGAGGACACGACCACATCACTGAATGGCTGAATAACAGAGCAAGACTGTCTGAGATCAGCTCTGGGATCAGCAGCATTTGTTTTTCAGCTACTGATACCGAAGTATCTGAGAGTTTTCTTAGAAATGCAAATCTGCCAAAAATGTACTTATTCTCTCCGAAGGGTAAAGAAGATCCAAAACCAACAAAAATTACACTCAGGAAGTCCTGTTCCAACTAAAGTAATACGATCTGACAAAAACATAGAACCACATGGGAAGCAAGATTGTATATCAAAGAGATCCACAAGAATTTATTTTTATGTTTCATATCTGTTCATTAATTCAGATTTTTCAAAAAGCATAAATGCTGGATGTTTATGCTACTGTCACAAAGAACTTGTTGATATTGTCATGTCATATTGGTAAATAAAGTTTTTGATAAGTATTTAATTGTTTTTAATTACAAGATATAAAGGCACTCTAGGAAATATTTGTCTCTAATAATGAGTTTTACTTTGTAATATAAGTAACAGAAAAAAAACTCACAATAATTTCTTAGATTTATCTGTATGTAGGCTGTATGACGATATATATACTGAGTTAGTTACTTTGTTTTTATAAAATTTATCGTCAGTAAGCTACAAAAGTTAGTGGTTATTTATTTGTAAAGTAAAATAAAAAAGAATGAAACTACTATTTCTTTTTATTACATCTGTTTCACACAATAAAACAGATGTGAACAGACGCCATATCCTAAACGTTAGTTGTTCTGATGATCCTGTTCAAGTGGAAGGGCTGTTCCAAAAATGTAGAGATATGCAGCATGGATGCTTCACAACTAAAATCAAACAAAATACATTTCAGAAACTACCTTGGTTGCAAATCAACACACTCTTACAGGAGGTGAATGGAACAGGAGTAAGGAGGAGGTGAAAGAAGGAAGGATGATGAGTGTTTAATGAAGAAACACAAGCATGTATGACTACAATATCCCAGATAATAAGTGCAAAAACAGAAAATTTACATATGCTGACAGTCTCTTGAATAACACAGCAATGTGATGCTGTGGGCCTTTTCCAGTTACTTGTTAAGAATGTGTCGGGTCATTAACCCTTATATACCAGAGTTTTAGGTGAAAATTTGGTAAAAGTTGGGTCTCAGCAGGAAAAAGATTTAAAAAATATGATCAAGCAATACGTAGAAAGTTCACCTGTCTTATCCTAAATACCACAGGAAACCAGCAGGGTGAGCTGCAGAAAGAGAGAAACCCTGAACACTAAGTGTTGTATTTGAGTCGGTGTCTGACTTCTATACAGGGATTTACTTTGCCTTTATTCTGATTTTTTGTTGTTGTTCTTTGCAGCAACAGCAGCTTCCTCAGTGTGTGTGCCTTTAACCCAGGAAGTCAGTGAGCATTTCAGTATTTAGTTTAATAAGGTGACTTCCTGGATGACAAAACAGCTCAAACAGCAGTTTATAGGTTTCACTTTTTAAGATGTAAGAAAATCTCAAACAGCTCTTCTTTTGCTTCACACATAGGAAAATACTTTGCTGTCAGGACTTTTTTTTTGTAAAAAGCCCTGATAATGTTGCATAAATTTGCCAGAGTTTATGCTACAAGTGTCAACCAGTGTTCACTTTTTGTAGACCTTCTTAGGACTTAGTATGGTTTTGGCAATAATCCTACACTAACCGCTTATCTATTGGTTTCCCACCCACACCAAGCATTTGCCCACCAAGATTAGAAGCGGCGCCTCAGAGCGAAGTGGCCTGAGCTGAACTTTGAGGAAAATAAATCTCCAGACGAAGAAGCTGGTGTAATTTTAAAAACTCCTTTAATTTATATCTTTAAAATTAAAAACATCTGATTTGCATTCTACCACCTCCAAAGGCACAGTCATACTTATAGCAGACCAAATTCATAAAACACTGCCACTGAACATCTTTTTTTTTTTTATCTTTTTGTCCTTCAATTTGTTTTGTACATAAGAAACAACGCACTATAAAAATGACTAAACAGTTTTACTGGTTAAACCACTCTGAATGGTGTAGACCATAGAAAGACGGGAGTGATATGTACTCGGCTGTAGTAGACTCCACTTAACAAGCTAATGTGCTGGTTTGAAAGCTGCCAGTCTCCAACGAACTGCAGCCTTTTAAAGACATAGCATTGAAATATTCAGGGAAAAACACATGAAATGTTTACACCAACCAATCTCGATGAACAGTGTTTAAGAATATGGAGGGTCGAAGCAAAACGAAGCCATTGGCAGGAGGGCTAAAATGCAGCGAGATGAGAAACGGTGGTGGAGGGAAACAAAAAGAAGAAGAAGAAAAAAAAAAGGCTTTCAGATTTCTCACCTCCAACCAGATTCTCTGAACTGAGCAATCTGAAATATTTACATGTAATCTGACGCCTCCATCTCACCGCTAAAAGTACACAGAAGACTTCAAAGAAGAAGGTGAAAACAAAGGTTTGGATAAGTTTTTTTTTTTTTTTTAAAGACAGTAGTCAACGTGTGCAAAGAGAGCCTGTCTGTGGTAAAGTCATCAGATATGATCGAGGGTTGATAACTCAACATACAATCACAAATCAATAAAGCACACAAAAATAATGCTGCTTACAATGTGAGACAACACAGCACCACACACAGCACGAGAGGTTCACTTAGTGACAACAAAATCCCAAAAATAGTGGATAAATATACAGCAGGTTATTTCACTGTTCTTACTCAGGCACAATCCTCCAAAATTAAACAAGAAAACAAAGAGAAAGAGGAGAAAAAAAAGCCACAGAAAAACAGGTTTGGCACAAAAACGAGGGGTTGAAAGAAAAATGCAAACAAGGCAAGAAAATAACATCTCAAAGGAAATGAGGCCACAGAGGAACTTATTAGGCAGGATTAAAGCACTTTGAACATAAACGTCACGCATACAGTACATCTGCTGTGAAACCATAATATGAGTCCCTATAAAACTGCTTTTGTCTTTACAAGTGTGTAGCAGCTGCAGGAGGCACCCAAACAAAATAAAATAACACAGTTATGTTTTCTTTACAGGCCAATCGAGTCGACTCAAAGCTTCCCAAATGTGTAAGAAAATATCTACAGAAACACTTTCCATTACTCACAATCAAACACAACCGTGGCAAAACGTGTTCAGTCAGCTTTCAGAAACAACAGCTTAGTGGTGCCAACAGAAAACACAAGCACACTAAACAAAGCCACCCCATATATACCATGCTCCCCCCCCCTGCTGTTTTTTTTAGTCTTTCTTTTTTTTTTACAGTTATTATCTCGGTTTTGTATCACGTAGCGCTTCACAGATTAGTAACAACCGGGCTTAGCGCCCACGTTTGAACTCTGCTTCGCACCCTCCTCTACACACAGACATTGCAGCATTTCAAGATCGCCTACATATGGCAGTGACGGTTCCAGGTCGGAGGGGAGCAGGGGTTTTTTCAGCTAGGCAACAGGTTGTAATGGTTAAAATTAAACATGCCTGGTTTTAGCTTTTTGTTTGTTTTTTTTTTTCTTTTTACAGAATAATACAAATAAAAGTTCTCTGCGTTTCTGTGTGCAGTAAGGTTCTGGTTTCTAAAGCCACACATCCTATTGCAACATCAGAGACGGTGGTGTAACTCAACAGGTGGTTTTGCCATCCGGGCAGCAGCAGTTAAAGAGAGTTTGGATTGCATTGCACCCGATTAAAACAGTTTGCAGCGACAGTGTTCACACACACATCGACAGGACCTATTTACAGCTATCAAACGTATAAATTAGTGTTATTTGCTTTGTACATCTGTGCGCATGGAGGACAGGAGCTGGTTAGTTAGTTGTCAGCCGAGCCCGTGGTGAAGAGGACGCGCTGGTCCGTTCTGGCCAGCTTGGCCGGAGGCTCCAGAGACTCCTCTCCGAGCACCGCCGCGTCGGCGGGGAGGGTCAGCTCCTGGCCCTCTTCCTCGCTCTCATCATCTTCTTCCTCTTCCTCTTCTGTGGATGACAAATGTGAAAGGGACACAGTTATCTTTGATGCTTGGGGAGATGACTGTTGTTATTGGCGGTGATGAGGCAGATTCGGTGCAGACCTTTGTCAGGATCCAGCTGGTTCAGACCGCGACCTAAACTGGCAAACTGACAGCAGGACAGGAATGAGTCAAGAAAGTTTTTTTTTATTTTTTATATTAATCGTTATTGTGAAAGCGTGTGTCAGGGCTCCTACATGCTTTACGTTTATAGCTTATCAGAATCAAAGTTCTCAGTCCCTTTCTAAGACGGATAGATGGATGGATACTACTTTTGGACAACAGGAAAAGGAATAAACATGAAAATACAAACATCTTTCCCCGCTCTGGATTTATCCAGGCTACGTTGGAGCCCCGGTGTGTGAGTTAGTACCTCTCCCATCACGGCGATGGGGGTTTCTCCCTTGGCCTGGGCCACTCTGTGCTCGATAAGGTAGTACATGTACTCGTCGTACAGCAGGCGGATCAAGTGAAAGGAACCGAAACTGGCTGCACTTCGCAGGGTCAGGTCCCTGATCACCATGGAACTGGACAGCAGGAATGGAAAAACAAAACCCAGTCACTCACAAAACAAATCTCACTTCTGTAACCAAAAAAAACAAAAAAAAAAGGATGCAGTGCATCCGTGCGCGTTAAACTGTGGCAAACCTCTTTTCTAATTTCCTCATTTTCAATATCCTCAATTCCTCTTCTCAGTGTTACTCATCACATCTCAGTCCTCACCTCGACAGGTGGAGGAAGAACGAAATGTAACAAGTAGTAAAGTAAGAGGAAGTGAGGTGGAAGCCATTTGTAGCACTTTGACTTCCTTTATCCTAACTATTAAATTAAACCAAAAGTCAGTTTAAGTGTAAAATGATAATTGCCGGACAGGTGATTAATGTCTTCTTAGACAGGTTTACTTGAATGTAGTTTTCATTATAAAATACAGTATATTACCCCATTTAAATAGAACTGACATCAACAAGTTGACTTCAGAAATTCATCTATGCAACAAAATATTTTGTAAACATTGACTTCTGAGCCACAAATAAGGGGAACAAGTCAAGAAGAGACCAGGAGGCTCAAATTAGACCAATGTATGATCTCATTATTTCACAGTAAATTACGCTGCTGAATCTGCTGCCAAAAAAAGACTTTATAGTGGCTGTAAATGACCTCGTGGCACTGCTTTAGTGTGCCGACACCGAACAGGCTAACATATTTATTTAGTGAATGAGAAGCTGAGAGTGGTGCCAGTATGCTTTAAGCATGGAAATTATAGATTATGATAAAAAAAAAAACATCCTGAAAACAGTAGCATGTTGATAGTGAAAGAGGAGCAATCAAAGAGCTGATTTATCAAAGTTAACAGATTATATTTTACTTACACTAAATGTGGTATGAAAATCCTCCATCAAATTCTTCCTGTTGTTTAGCATTGAGCTGGATGATACTAGGAAACCATGTCATTGAGATGCTATCACTGAATATTGAAGTGAAATTACCGATTGTGCATTTTCCTGGCTTTCTGCATTTGCCTTCATCAAAATGTTCCCAATACGCTCAGTGAGCTTTAATCTGTCAGCACCTGAAGTACACATCCAGGGAAGTGTGCAGGCAAAATGTATGACTGCTATTACTGGACACAGAGTTTTCTTAAATGGCACCTGAAAAATAATAAAGCTTTCAAGTTGATTTCTGATAACTTGATATCGTGCTGCGGTTTGGTACATTCTGTAGCTCCAATCAAATAAGATGCCAGTGAATGTGTTGGACTGACCGAGTCTTCTCCATCTGAGTCCAGCATGGAGTAATGAAGTGTACAAGGTACACAGGTGCTTACTCAGTATGTTTTTGCTATAGTCTAAGGATGGAAATCAAACATTATTCTAACTGATATATTTGATTATTTCACCACCAGGCAGAATATTTTTTCTTTAACTCCCCTGATAGCAACTGTACCATATCATACCAGCAGCTATGATGAACATTTATGTAACACTTCTCCGAAATGTACGCATTTCAGAGAAGACATGAGAACATGAAACATGCTTTCATGCATTCTTAAAGCTTCCAGCTCAAACCTCAAATCACACATCAGTGAAGAACACAAGCCACCACGCAGCCTCTCTCTCTCTCCGTCGTCTTTGTCTTTGCCGTCATACCTGTAAAACGACCACTTGAGTAAGAAGAGCTTGGCAGCCTTTGGAAACGCAGGGCTGTGCTGGTATGGCTTCAGGACCTGGGAGACCACGCCATCAAGCCACACGGCCCACTGCTCCAAGGAGTTCTGCTGCTGCAGGGTCAGCTTGAAGTCCTGCTCCAGCCGCTGCACCACACGGTCTTCGCATCTGCACACCCATGAAGCTTGCTCCTGCAGAGAGATACAGAGAAAAAGACTTTACTTTAAAATGTTGTTAAAAAAAAACTTTGCTCAGTTAGATCTTTTTGTCTTTGTCTGGAGGGTAATGCTAAAAGCTAGTCAGAACAGTGCTGAGATTAAAGTGGAATTGTGTCAGGGGTGATGGTTATTTATAAAGGAAATGGAGGCAAAAGGCAGTGCCTCATCTTCCTGTGTGAAGTACTTAATCGTTTCTTGACAGAGTAACCGTTCTAACACTGACACAGTTTAAAATCAGAACAGCAGTATTCCTTTCTAGTATTACAATACATTAGCTTTCTACATTCCAGTGCTTTTATTTCAGATTGTTATGCCGTTCATTTACTACAAGAAAGACATCAGCTGTTTAGAACCTCCCAAAAGAACCTCACTTCGATCATTCTGAATTATTCCTTTTGCTAAATGAGCAAAAGATGTGAGCAAGAGGCACAGGAAGCTCGCATTTAAACCCAAACTTTCAGTCATGCTTTAAAATCAACCCCAGATCTGAGCTGACAACCTGCAGAAACATTTCTGAGAAACAGAGAACAGAGAAGGGGCTTCCTGGGTTAGAAAGTGATCAAAACTGGCTGCGTGTCACGCCTCGCCAAAACCACAAGCTGCAGCAGAAATTACTGCTCTCTGCACAAAACTAAAATAAAGACCCAAGCCCCGCTGGTGAAATTCAAGTGGCGCCACTCGGGTGCTCTCAGGGCCCAAAACTCAGAGCCTAAAACCAACCTGAACGTTTGCAAAGTCGACTCGGTTGAGGTCGGAGAGCATCTGGTTGATCTGAGCTGTGTTCTGGAGGACAGCGCGGGCTGCCTGCGCGAGATGATTCAGACTGGTGTAGCGGCGCAGCGTCTGGGCAAAAGCATTGGCTGATGTCACCTGAGGGCAAGGCAGGGTCAGTAAAGATTGATCAGAAACAACCTCATCAGAACAATTAGTCCCAGTAAATCATCCTTTTTTGTGTATTTTCATACTAAGCAAAGTAAAACCTTCCAGTTAAATTATGTCAAGTCCTTTTCTGAAAATATATTGTTGCAGAAAATGTTTTAAATTTTTGAAAAAAATTCTAAATAATGATAACCCTGACATAAAAGTAGTTTGATCTTTTGTGAAATGCGAGGCAGTGTTGCAGAGCTGTACCTTGATGCGGACCATTTCCTCAGGGATGTTCATCATGGCGTTGGTCAGCCAGCTCTCAAGGCTCTTGGCAAAGTTACGAATGGCTTGTGTTAAGGCACCTGCAGGCAACAAACATAGTTGAAATGATGCAATAAAACCAGGATTGGTGAAGTGAAAGTATCGCAAAGAGGAATAGTAAAAAAGAAAGAGAAAGAGTAATATCAACTAAAATAAACAAGAAACAGAAAGAAAGTAGTGCAAGACCCAAGTAGATGAACAGTACAGGGATGTTTGAAGGCAGGCTTAATCTTTGCAGAATGACTTTCTTTAACTTGGCTTCAATGGAACTGAAGTTTGTGGTTAAAAGTAGCCGTTTAACCACACATGACAATGCTTTGTCGTGCACTGTGGAGCCTTACTGGGGATGGGTCTGAGGACGTCGGGGATGAGGATCTCCACCAGGCTCTGGTACAGACTGTTGTCACAGTCCCGGCTCCAGCGCAGCACCGGCTCGTACTTGCACAGCAACACCAGGCAGGATTTTGGGAGGCGCTTCTCTGACTCATCGTGCCTGTAAAAATGGAAAGTTTGCACGGAAAAAAGTCGGACTCCTACAGCAGATAATAAGTTGTTATTCTCTGCCCAAAGGAATGGAAACACTTACACAGCCATTGGAGTATCTCCAGCTTGGCTTTGGCTGAACCTCCAGAAGGTTTTCCATAGAGTCTCTACCAGCGTAAACTGCAGATTGACCATCACGTCCAGTATGGCCTGAGAAACAAAAAAACAAGTTAACATCAGACACATGCACAGCTGATAATGAATCACCATTTGCTTCTTTTTTTTTTAAGCTGAAAGTGATCATATTTAGAAAAACTATCATTCTGGATCCATCTTTGAGAAATGAATTCTAATAAATGCATTTCCAGTCAACACTGTTAAAACAAAAAGTCCTTCTAGAAAGGATCTATTCCACCTTTAAGTTGCTTCTGCATCACTCTCCCCTTAACAAAGAAGGGACGTCATCTATTTTTACACAACGTAAGGATTCAAAAACAACATGGAAAAGCCATTCTCATGAATATTTGGTGTAGAAGCTTTCTGGTACCTCACAGTGTTCTCTGTAAAGCAGCTGAAAGCTCTTTATGTGGTCGAGTTCAATTCCCTCCGGGAGAGACTTCCCATGGAGGTCGATGTCTGGAAACTCCGGGAGAGATCGAGAAGCATCTGGAGACGGGATCCACGCGCAGATTACCCAGAGATAAATAACATTTATATGCATTATAAATAACTTTAATGTAGGTATAATGGATCTATAATAGATCTGTTTATTCATGCTCAATCAGGTGAAACTGTCCGATCAATGTAGCGTGAACTATCACCAAACTCACCCAGGAACTGCTGGTACTGCTGAACCTGGGTGCTGATGTCCACATGTCCGGATCCCTGTTGCTGCTGTTGCTGCTGGCCTGCTCCTGCTGCAGTCCCGTTGGTCATACCTTCAACTTTATGCACAGGCTTCAACCTGCAAGGAACAAGGGGACCGACTGAATTAAAACAACGTCGCGGCAGCATAAAGGTAAACGGGACATGAATAGCCGTGCTCAAACCTTTGTTTCTGAGAGAACGGCTGTTGCCTCATGGCCAAATGTTGTTGGTCTTCCATGAGTCGGAGAAGAGATGAGCCGGCCTTGATTCTCAGTCCGTAATAGTGGTATTTAGAATTGCCCCTAATAGGAGAGAAAAGCAACCGTCACTCTCCTTTCTTTTATGAAATTTACGCAACCCACACCGATTCTGAGTTCATCTGTACAGAGAGTAGACTACAGCTGAAAGGTGAGGGAAATGAAGCATAAATGTTTTTCAAAAACAAATCATTAAAAAAGTGAGTTGGGCATTTGGTTTCAGTCAGCTTGAGTCAATAGTTCTAAAACCAACATCTAGAAATTGATATTTTTTTTATATTTTGCACAATCAGATTGGACGTAAGGAATCTGTAAACATAAATTTTAATGCGTTGGATTCAGGCGTGGACTTTGACTAGGTTAGACATGAGCATGCTTTGATCAGAAGAACCATGTTCTTGTATCTCTGGCTGAATGTTTTGGGTCATTGTCCGGCTGGAAGGTTTTCCTCTAACCCTGTCAGAGGAAAACCTTTCCTTCAGCATAATCCTGTATGTAGCTACTAACTGTCTGCACATCGACTCTAATCATCTTCCTTGCCACTGGTGAAGAAAAACAATCCCTTTGCATAAAGCTGCCACCAACATGTTTCACTGTGGGGACGATGTGTTCAGGATGACGTGCAGTGTTAGTTTCAGGGCATACATAGCGTCTTGTACGTAGGCCACAAGGTTCAACTTTGGTCTCATCCAACCACAGCACATGACTTGTGGCAAACTTGTAATAGTTTTGTTTTTTTTCCCAGCAAACACTTTGTTGTTGCCACTCTTACATAAAGGGCCGTCTTGGCCCTTTTTTTTAGGGCAACTACGAGTAGTTTTGTCTGGGGCTGAATATAGAAGCCGAACACTTTTTCAGACACCTACCGAGTGCCCAGGCGTCGCGTGCGAAGCCCCATGAACACGGATCGGATGAGTTTCCCAAAGGAAGCAGCGTTGACTGGTTCGAGCTTCTGTTCCTGGCAGTGCAGCAGGTAGTGGCAGTACAGCGTGGAACGTGGCAGACTTACTCCTTCAGCCGTCTCATAGTTGTCCAGCAACCACTGTACCTGACACACATGCAACGAAAGAGAAAAGCGAGAAGGAGAACGGCTGCTGCGATTAGAAACACCAGTGAATGCCAACATATTTGCCAACACATTTGAAAATTAACAGAAATAGTCCATGCAGTAAAAGTTTCTTCACTAAATCCTACAAACACAGATCCATTCGCATTCACAGCTCGGTCATCCATTCAGGAATGAAAACAAAAACGTCTGTTTGCGTGCCGTGGCATACAACTTTGGTATGCAATGAATCAATGACCTGGAATACTGATGGGATGTCTGCCAAACATGTTTTTTAGTAAATATTGTTACCACATGGGAATCAATATGATGAATTTAAGATGAACTGTATTGTGTTGGGAGCATTTCAAGCAAATTATAAATGCCCCCCATCGCATGCACTGCAATGACATGAGAATGATGAGGTCATGGTTTAGTTTTTCCTTAGAGGAGGAACGTTTTGCAAGTTTTAGTGTTGGTCCGAGTCCTCAGATTGTTCTCATGCGTTCTGATTGACAAAACTCCACTATGACATCATCATCATCGGTGTGCGCCATCGGAGGGTTGTGTGGATGGGAACGGAACGAGAAGAAAACTCCTGCGCTTGGCGCCTCTGCATACCTTCTTGTCTGCCGACGGCACGCTACTCTCCTCGCCCTCTGTAATACTCACAGTGGCTGGGGAGGCGCGGGCGCTGTGTGAGTAGTTCTGACTGTTCCCGGCGGCCCCTCCATTGCTGCTGCTGCTGCTGCTGTTGCTGCCACTGCCCAGCATGTAACCGCCCTGGATCACGTAACTGCCCGCTGCGCTACCATTGGTGCCCGCCCCTTCCTCTGACCCGTTGGCAGTGCCCCCGGCGGTCACTACAGTGGCGCCGCCCCCTGCCGCAGTGGTGGGCTGGGCCACAAACATGGACACGCCCCCCGTGGCGCCGGCAGTCACGGCGACTGTCAAACTCGTGCCGGGTGAAGAGGCCTGCGCGCCCGATGTCGGCTGACCTTCGTAATACTGGGCAGCCGTGCTCTGGGTGTACAGCGGCGTTTCAGTGTAAGGGAAGTTGCTGGAGCGGCTAGATGAGAGAAAAATGAAGATTTCTTTAAAAGCTTTTAGAAAGCACAGTATGTAAGGCAGAAAATGAATTCTGTTTTGACATTTTAAGTCGATTATCGGACACAAGTGGATTCTGACATGGTGCTGGTGGTGTAGTTGGTGTCTCCTCCTTCCACATACTGCACTTGGTTGGCGTACACATGCTGCACCGGCACTGAAGCAAGCTGCTGCTGGACCTAAAGAGTCAGCACACGCAAAAATCCGATAAATCCTTGTTAGTAACTCTTTCAACATCAGGAAACTAAATTCATTTTGCATACTTTTCATTTGCAATTAGAACTGCACACATTACTCAGCTGCAATTACAATCTTTGTTCCTTCAGCTTTAAAGCAGCACTTTCCCTCGTGTCTCCCTAACCTACTTGGTAATAAACAGTCCAGAGCCCACTGTTGTCATTGTGGACTTTTGGCACCCAGGCCAAAGATTCAGGATCTGCTGTCAGATGATGAAGCTGCAACTCGTCTACTGTCCTATCTCTGCCTAACTCGACGGCCTCCATTGAAACGGGAAGCTAAAAGGTCCACAGAGACAATAAGCTGACAAATACTGAGCCAGAATGAGAGGAAGTTAAACATCGATCAGCACTCGCATATATTTTAAGAACTGAAGCTATGAAGACCAATTGGTTCGCATTTAGCCTTGCGTACCTTTTGTGTGTATTTTCAACTTACTTCCTGTGTGATATGAACAGGCTGTAGATTGGTGACACTGAGCTGTGTGCCTGGCTCAGTTTTGGCTATCTGAGAAGTGGCCTGCACCACCGACCTCTGTTGAGACAAAAATCCTTTTAAAATAAAACAAATATCTAAACAAATACAGGTTAATAAGTGTATTGGTAAGCATGAATATATCTTACCTGCTGGGCTGCCTGTACCTGCTGAACAACCTGTGTGGGAACTCCTGTCTGCACAACAGCTGGAGGTGGGCTAGAATCTGACACACTGTCACTTGAGTGAAGAGACCCCTCTGAAAGTAAAAAAGCCAGAACACCCAAACTTCAGATTTTTCTGGCTTAAATACAGCATTTATTTCTTAAGACTGTACCAACGACTAATGACAAACATTACCTTTTAAATTCATTGTGACAAACAATATATATTCTTAATAAGAATGAACTGGATCAGACGCTACTAAACAAAACATACACATTTATTCACATACCACACTTTTTCCTTCCACTCAACTTCCCATTTAAATGCTTGGATACAGCTAGTTTAATTTAGTAGTGAACACTTATGGCATACCCTTCGTATGGATGACAGTAATCTTCTAAAGCAACTGTATAGATATTAGTAAGAAATAAATTATATTTGTAGTATGAGCCATAACTATCACATTAAGAAAATTTAAATGTACAAATAAAGATTCTGTGACTTTTTATGGTGCCTCCTTATTTAACAGACTGGCAACATTCAACAGCCCAGAAAGCCAGAAAAGCTTCCAGAACAGATGAATGAATTGTTCTTGTATTTTAACAACAACAACAACAACAACCTGACAGGTGACTCAGAATCAGCCCCAATAGAGACAGACTAATGTGGAAACGCATCAACAATTTTACATGTAGACAACTCATAACAGGAAAACAGACGCATTCAGATTTGAATGGTCAAGGTTGTACATAATCAATAAATACCGAAAAATGGCAAGTTTATTGTTTTATTTTTTTCAGACACCACTAAAGCTCAACAACTGAACTACAGCATCCATTGAGCACAGATACACAGCTGCATAGACAATGATTCCATGGTGTTGAGGACATTTGAGCAAATGATGTGCTAAATTCAGACGTTACCTGTGACTGTGACAACAATGTACTGAGGAGTGCTTTGAGCATTTCCAGACTGCGTGGGGGAACCCTGGATCTCTGCTGTCACGTACTGCGTTTGAGCCGGCTGCACCTGCGATGCAGTCTGGGTTTGACTCCCGGCTGCAGGCTTCTGAGAGGCGACCACGGAAACCTGCTCAGTGGGAGTAGTTTGGCCTGTAGGTGTGACAACAGTGGGGGTAGCCACAGCAGTTTGAATCTCTGCCAGAAACTGAGGTGTAGTTGCAGGGGTGGAGGCAGTGTCAGGCTGACCCGGTGTGACGGTCACTACAGCCCCCTGAGGCTGGGCTGCTGGTTGCATCTCCCCTACATAGGCTGAGGTGGCCATTTCAAGACCTGGCAGTCACCCTAAAACAAAAAAAAAGAAAGAAAAAAATTGGATTTCAATACAAAAAAAACTGATACAGTTATTACACAAAGAAGATTATCTATGCGGCTGAGCAAAACATAGAGTATTACCTGAAAATATGCAAATAATATTTGTAAAAAAAAACTTTTATATTTCAAGAAATGACAATTAGAAGTTACAATTGGTCTAAAAGTGTAAGATGGTGAGCAAACATAAAAATAATTTGTGGACAAGTTTGCATGCTGGGGATGTCAGGGTTAGAGCTACATTCTCATTTGTCTGGAAAATGCAAATGAATGAATGAGGCCTGCTCAAAAGTGCCGCAGTGGCGGACCTGTTGGCGGAGCAGGTACTGAAGAGATGTGGGGGAGGAACAATGATGGGAATAAGCAGTTTGGTGTCTCATTACGTGTAACAAGATCTCCCTACATAAAACCTTTCATTTAGTTTTGCCTGTGATGTGAGTTGAGATAATGCCTCAATACAATGACTTATTGTTGCAAATCATCCTGTTTTATGCCACCATAATTCATCAAGTGTAACTTTAATTGCTTTTACTAAGTATTGTCGTATAATGTTGGTGTCTCAACATTAAGACTATTTTGGAGAAAATGACAATGACTTACAAAGGAATTTGTTTTCTACAAAACTCCAAACACGATAACATGGAAATCCATTAAACTTATTTAGATTTTTACAGCTGCTAGCAACCATTTTATTTTACATGTAGACAACTCATAACAGGAATTAATGTCTAATCTTTATAGACATTAAAAAGATATCTGCTCTCTATTCTACATTTTTTCTGCTTATTATTGTAGGATTCTTCAGGTTTTTCATTTCTTCATTTGGATAGCAGTTGTAACTGAATCCGTAAATAATCAAATAAAAAGATAAATTTATGGAATTTTCCGTACAGATTTGTTGGTTCTAAAACCAGTTTGGATGTGTAATTGGAGAACCCAGATGTGGCAAAGTTTCAAGGTGGTGACTTCAGGTGAAGTTAAAAAAAATTGGGGCTTACTGTGCAAGTAACAAGTACTGTGCAAAGTGTTAATGGAAGGACTGTATGATTTTCAGCCTATGTTTTGAATGTTAACCCAGTTCTGAATGAGACAATAAACAATGAATCCAACCTAGTAAGAGAATTCCTGTTGTATGTCACTAATTTCTTCCACACAGGAAAAAGCATGATCTACATAAATTCCCAAATTAAAAATACATAGGATCTTTTATGTAAATTTATGTCTGGAGCTGTTTGTCTTGAAAAAATAAACTTAATAACAAATAAATAATTCATGAGTACATACAATAAGTGTGGATTGATTAGAACAAAACTTAAAATATGTGAACAAAACATCAAATATTAAAAACCAATACGAAATAAAAATATATTTCACCAAGTTGCTATGTAATGATTGACTATTTCTAAATGCTTGATACAGTTAGTAGTGCTGTACTCTAAGTGAATTTAAAAGTCATTTGATGAGGACAGCACACAGAAAAAAACAATACACAAAAAGCCCACATGTTGCACAGACATTAAAGTTGTTGCTTTTATTGTTAGGGAAAAAAGAATCCCACATGCAGTAGAATATAAATTATGCACAAGAACAACCATTGTTAGTGGAATTTAATATAACAAACTAATAAATGATTACAATGTTACATCGTCTTTATAGCTAGGGGCGTATTTATGTTTATAGTTAGGGGGGGATATCAATATTACCAGTGACAGTTTTTAGGAATAGTGCAAATGTGGATATAATTTTAAACTATAATTATTTGGATGCTGGGAGAGAGAGAGGGCTTTATTCTACCATAATAAACATATGTTGTCTGTTTACATTCGACACATTACCTTGTTCGACTTTTGCACGGTCATTAACTGTTAAAATAGATACACTGCTCTCTCAGACCAGCCAAACACCTGCATAACGCCCTCCTTCGCCACGCCCCTCGCACGTTAAATGTCTGCCACCTGCCACAGCTGTCTCAAATTTCACACATATTTCATACCTACTTCTTCCAAGCCCAGATACCATAACCCGTATTCGGTCATTAGACTTATATACCAGTCTCGTTTCATTTCTCCATTGGATAGTACACGTTATCAAACCTGTGTGGTGTGGTGAGTTCATTGGAGCAACATGACGTTTTAATACAGCACCTCATGCGCACTATGTGCCGAAATAAACACGGGCAACGTTCATTTCTAACGATATGATACGAAAGCTTCACGCAGTAACGAGCACAAGCTTGTCGTGACAGCTTTCCAGCAAGGTAACTCGATAAGCAAGCTAACTGGTCTCTACAACAACCGCCATTTTGTACCTTTTGCATTTGACATCGCCATAACAACGGCCTGCTTGACTATGCATCTGTGGCTGCGCCGTCATGGCAGGCAAGACTCTGTGTCATTAGGAGATGCATACACTAACCGTCGCGCTTAACTTGTTAACGGACCAACGGCTAGCTTTAGGCTAACCTCGCTGAAAGGCTGACTCCCGTTATGGCTACTGTAACAACAAGGAAAAAGCAAAAGCACAATTCAGTGTGAACCACTCGAGAGGAAAAATGTTTCGATTTACCTATAACTTGACCTCCGCCTCCACGCGCGCTTGTCCCAAAATAAAATATCTTCTTTTATTTTTATAGTGGATTCAGTTGTTGTTGTTGATTCTCGTTGCTGGGTTCTTGTCGCCAGGGCTACCGTGGCTATGGCGCTTCGTCCTCACCAGGGCAACTGTTGCTACCCACCCGCTGCCTTCCCTCCCCCTTCTTCGCTCTGATTGGCTAACGCAAACCAAATTTAGTTAAAGTCATAGTAGCAGTGAAAAAAAAATACTACAAAGCACCCCACGCCCATTCGAGTTTAAACACTTTTAATAACATTTCTAACAGAGCAATAACATAATATGTATGCTTTGAATAGAATAGTGAAGTTAATTTACACAAGTATAATTAAAAGCGACATACCTATAGATTTAGTACACACTAAGCATTTATTCCTGCAAGTTTTGATGATTATGGCTTACATTTGATGAAAAGATATATTTCAGTTTATTGTGAAATGGGAATATTACATAAGACGAATAAAGTAAAAGATTTTTGTTAATTAAATGCTATGTTATGTTATAGCCATTTTGCAGACTACCTACAAAATCATGAGGAAGTCATTGGCGACCACGAAAGGTCATTTCTAAAGAAGCCGATTGCTCACAGAGTGCTGTGCCCAAGCATATTAATGGAAAATAGAATGAAAGGAAAACGTGTGGTAGAAAACTATCTATAGGTAATAGGGTTAAGCACAACCCTGAGAAGATTGTAAAGCAAAATACCAAGATTGGGGGAGAATCCAAAAGCATGAACTGAAGATGAAGTAAAGACCCACCTGACCTAACACATGATGATGGGAAGAAATTCCAAGTAAAAAAGGCAAAAATCCATTATATAAAAGTGGTAAATGTTGCTTAATTAAGCCATATATTTTAAGGAATACAAATTATATATTTAAAGTTGGGAAATTTATACATGACAATAAATGGATAATATCTTGATTATGAAAGATAAAAAGAGAAATATAGAAAATTGTGTGTGCTTTGTTAAAAGCATCCAATAAACATTTTAGATAGTGAAAAACAGATGTTTCTGTCTATTAATTATTGATTCAGACTGAGAAAGGTTAACATTTCTTATGCAAGAGAGGAACAAAATACAAGATTAAAACATGACAATATTTATACATATTTATTTGTGAAACACACTATATTTTAAGATGTATTGTATATATTACACAATCAAGATAGAACAACACATTCTAAAGTTTGTTCAAAACAAATACATTTATTGATTTAACTGGTTTGCATTTTTATTGTGCTGCTATGACCCCAATGATGACGTGTTAATGAGTGTCATAGTGGATGCCCTGCCAAAATGCCATTTAGCTTGGTTTTTATCCTTTCATTAATTACAGATTCACCATTGCTATTGTAATTTCCTAAACGGGCGACCTTTGACTATGTAGCAACTGATAAAAAATGTACTTTATAGTTTTCTGACTCATGGCGAGAATTCAATGTTATCTGTTTTTGAAAATGTCACCGATCCTTTCTCATTCCCTCCTGTTCACCTTTTGGCAAAGGGCTAACAGCAAAGGTAATTTTCAATTTAAAAAAATAAAAAAGAAATGAAATGTTCAAAAGTCATATAGGGTGACGTGAAAATCAAGAATGGCAAATAATATAATAATTAAAGTCAACATGTCAGAAGCAGAATCAAATCCTCTTTCTTTCTTTCTTTCTTTCTTTCTTTCTTTCTTTCTTTCTTTCTTTCTTTCTTTCTTTCTTTCTTTCTTTCTTTCTTTCTTTCCATTTTCTTTACCTGCTTGCCCTTGCAAGGTTGCACGAGGGCTGGTGTCTATCTGTGGGGTTTCAATTTTAATGTGGTTGTACCTTCACTGCTCTTCTGGTCAGATAACCTGATGTGCCTAGTGATTTCTTATGTTTGTCTAAAAGAGGTGAAGACCACTTTTAGCTGCCATGATTGATGTTATAAAGCTCCTGATAAATTTGTTGTGTGCCACCCAGAGACATGGACATGGATCCCATCTGGTCACTCCTTTGCAAACTTTCTGGAAGCACCCCTGCTCTGAAATGAGACCTTTCTGTACAAATACCAATGCCAACCAGGTTTTAAACTGTTGCATATCAACAATTGCATATTTAACAATTTAAATATGCAATCTGATCAGTTAGTCATAGCTTGTTTGGATAATTACAGAGACTTTTATTAAGTCTGTTTCAAATTTGAGAAAGGGTTAGGACAGTGATGGAAATGAATATACGTCACAAGCTGAAATACAATTGTATCACAGATGCTTCTAATGCATTTGCTGATTATGCCACCTTTGGTCTGCCTTTTGTTTCCATAAAGGTCTTCCACTATATCACTTTTTCAAATCTCTCTCTCTCTCTCTCTGCTTGAGAAGGCCTGCCATCCTCTCCAATACATAGCAACAAACTCCTTTATAAACCACATCTGGATCACCTGCAGGGGCACAGCTCAAGCAAACTGGGACACAGACATAAGAAAAAAAAAACTTGAATTTTTCCATCTTGCTTTACTTGCTTGGGATACAATGTGGAAAGCAGTGGTAATGGCCGTGTGTTTGCTTGTGGCTGGGGTTGGAGCTCAGCCCATGGAGGATCCAACGTATGGGGTGAAACTCTGTGGCAGAGAGTTTATTCGAGCAGTCATCTTCACCTGCGGAGGATCACGCTGGAAACGATCACTTAGAAGTCCAGGTAAGCCTGCGGGAGCATCTAAATCTTCACTTTCACTCTTATTATACTGTCAGGATATTTTTTTTATAATTTGCATGTAACTTGATCTCAAAGATGGTCAAAATCACACATTATTACATCTATTCATAAGATTTCCAAACCAGTGGAGAGTTAATTTAAAATCCATGATCAACTTTATGTTTGAATTGTTTGAAGTGTAATTGAGTCCATATTTTTGCCATGTAGTCTTAGGGTACTGGTTCAAGCAACAACTGAAATAGAATATATTTAAATCAGATATTAATAGAGTTATGTTACAATAACAGGTGCATTTGATAATCCAGGTACTCCTACTATCACGTAATCTTTTGGTGCATCTTTTATGATAGTAAACATGAGCAAGCCGTATTGTTCCCTCCACCAGATGTTTCAGAAGACCCATTCACCTCCCATCAAGATGAGTCTTCAGAGGGCTTGACCTCCAACTTTATGGTTGAAAACTTCCTTCAAACAACCAAAGACCTCAGCTTCACGCCCCAAAACAACCCTAATGGTGGGTTCAGCAGGTCCACCCGGTCGTTCATTACTGATGAAATCCTGGAGGCTCTCCGGAAAGCTGACCGCAAAGGCCGGGACGTCGTGGTGGGTCTGTCCAACGCCTGCTGCAAGTGGGGCTGCAGCAAAAGCGAGATCAGCTCCCTTTGCTGAGGGTTGATGAATGAATGCATGTGTTAGCAAATGTTTTACACCCTCCCACAAATATGCACACATACACACAGAAACATTTTAATTTTGTTTCATGTTTGTCAAGAAGTTGAGTCGAATTAGTAAATGTGTTCTGTTTTCCGTACTAAAATGTTTTCAGTGTTTAAAGACAGACAGGAATAAATGTACTTTTTTTATTCCTGATTAATGTTTCTGCAACTTTTAAGAACTTTGTGCTACATTTTGTAAAACTTCATAAACAGCCTGTCATGTGAAAGTAGGTCTAATGTCATTTGTAGTGTAAAAATATTTTCTATATGTTTCATTGAACAAATGTGATGTAACAATTTCCCATTCAAAACAACAAAACTATAAAATGCCTTACTCACAAACATGTGATGTGTTTTTTTCCTCACAGAAATATTTATCAAATACATTTTGTTAACAAAATACAGAAGAAAACTGTAAACTCTTGAGGAAATGGTCAGTCTCAGAAACAAATGGAAAAAAGTAAATTTGCAATAAAGTAAAACCAGTGTTAGTTCAAATTGTTCTTTTTGCACCAGTCTGTTCATGTAAATTTTGGCTGCTAATAGTGCATGCAGCTGAAATTCCGTCCATTCTGACAAGCAAAATAAAAAACACACCCTCAATATGCTTTAAAACAAACAAACAAACAAACAAACAAAAACCGAAGGCAAAAAAGCAAAGCAACAAAAAGTGGAATGAATGTTCAGCTTCAATTTGAAATAACTGCATTCAGTTTCATTATGCTTCATCAGGCTGTTCCAATTTATTATAAGTTGTATTGTGATAAAAACAGACACTCCAAAAAGGAAAAAAAAACAAACAAAAAAAACAACGAAAACAACAACAGCAAAAAAGCGAAACAAAACAAAAGCAAAACATGCTTTGACAGTGAGGGCACGTTTTAGGACAACATCGGAGAGCCATACCGGAAGAATGAAGAACAGAGCCCGAGAATAAAAATATAACCATAATCTACTTTCTACGTCATCGGTAATTCCTGAAAAGGGAGGAGCTTCACCCGGCAAAGTTTTTAATTCCGCAGTAACTTTTTTTCAGCGTTAGTTTCCTACGGCCACAACATGCGCTTCATGTGTCTTTGTGTATCTCGAAATGAGGTAAAGAATTTTGCGTTATAGTAGAAATATTTACTTAATGTATAGCCCTGCTAAAGAGCAAATGTTGGTGCTTATATATGTATTCCTGCTATGTCGGGGAAGTGAACGCAACTCTTAATAGCAGCACATTTTACCTGACGCGAGGGTCTCGTGAGGTTCTCGCGGTGACTTGTTTTTACCGAGGTTTTGGTTCGTTGTATAAATTTATTCACTTCAAGTAAAGATAAATCTACGGAATGAAAACGTATTTGTTTTTCAGAAACTTGAGGTCTAAATGTGATGGCCACACCTACGACGTGGTGGCTGCTGCCCGTCTTGCTGGTCACCTTCCTGTACTGTTGTTGTTCTAGCCCAGGTAGGCTTATTCAAATTTGTATATTTATTACTGGGAGAAGAATATCTCCAAGCTTCATACATCCACATTTCCTCAGAAATTAACAAGTTTATTTTCTACCAATATTATAAAATGAGCTGTGCTGTTCATCATATGTTTTGCTTGAGTTGAAAATACTATTATATCAAGGAGCAATATGTTTATTTAAAAACTATATTAAAAATAAACTTTCACCCTGTGGTAATATTGATTATATATGGTTGTTTAATTCTATAGTTTGAACATTTTCATTTTTTTAAAGGTAAAAGGTAATCTTATTTATTTAGCACATTTTCAGCAACAAGGCTATAGAAAGTGCTTTACAGGAATTAAAAGGAAATGCAAACAAAATAACAAACCAAAGGGTGGGTACATTAGATTACCCTAATGTTAATCTAATGTATGTAAACTAACCTAGGTGCTTCCACTAGATAATTAAAAAAATAAAATAAAATGCTGCATTTGCTTTTTAAAATATGCCCAAATGCAGTTGTCTACTACTATCTGGCTTTATAGTTGCACTACTGAATGATGCTACTGTTAGAAAGCATCCTTGTTGGTTGTTTTTAGAGCAGTATTTGAATTTGTAATGTTCTGACTGTATGTAGTAAATGAATTTTTCAACACTATTTGATGCTGCCTTTCTTGTGATCACAGTAAAAACCACAAAATATGTGATCAGATTAGTCAGTTAAGTCTATTTTAACAATTGATAGCCTTACTTTTGCTTTGCATTATATATAATATGAGCAATTATTTGCATTTATACTTTAAATATGATTTGATTTGCAGTCTATATTAAAAGGGAAGTGGTCTTAAAGGAAGACAGCACTCATTCAGACTGTAGCTACCTGCTTCCTGTTAACACGGCAACTACTGCGCCTTCTTGTAATGTCTCATGTGCAAGTATTGAACTGATTACTGCAAAGCACACGCAGGCTTATGAGAAATGGGTAAAGGTGACAGGCGTGTATTGAATGTGTAAAAAAAAGTGTAAGCTTGAGAGACAGGCGGATGAGCATGTGAGTCACTCAAACATCCTTTGTATTGTTGTTTAAAATGAGTGTACCTTTCTTTGTTTTGTAACTTTTTGTGCATTTTTTTAGAGAACTGCTTCCTGTTTGTTTTTGCTTTTATTTTTATTTTTTATCAATTTTACCTCCCAGATCAAATATATAGATACTGATGGGCAGTAAAATAGGGGTCTCTTTTTTCTCTTTCTTTTTCTCTGTGTTGTAAAAATAACGATATGTAATATTTTACCATGTTTGTTACATAGAAAATGTCACAGACACTTGGATTTTTTTTTCTGACTCATACCCCTGGCAGCTTCACACAGCAGCCATTACATTTTTGTATTGTGACTCACGAGGATAGTACCTTCCGTACCGCGACTGCTTTTTTGGCTCTGTAAGACCTTTGTCTGTTTATAAATAAATCACACATATATCTGCACAACTACTTCTTAATGATCAATATTCTGAGTTCTTGCTGGAGTGTTTATCATGTTTCAATGCATCCTCAACCAAATTACGATAATGTGAAAAAATGTTCTTTGAGGATTTTGCCACCCCCAAAAAATCACATTTCTGTAAATATTCACATCCTTTGCCATGAAGCTCAAAACTGAGCTACATCCACAGATCATCTTTTAAATGTTTCCACAGCTTACATGGACTCCACATGTGTAAGTTTAGTTAAACTGGCTAGATCTGGAAAGGCACAGACCCACCTATGTTAGATCCCACAGCTAACAGCAGGTCAGAGGTAAAAATCAAGCATGAAATCAAATTAATTATCTGTAGACCTCCAAGACAAGGACTATCTTGAGGCACAGATCTTGAGAAGGATACAGAAACATTTCTGCTGCTTTGAAGGTTCCAGTGAGTTCAGTGGCCTCCATTATTGGTGAGCGGATGAAGTTTGGAACCAGCAGGACTCTCTCTAGTGCCATCACGCCTGATCGATCAGGGAGGCGATCAAGAAACCAATGGTCACTCTGTCAGATCTCTAGGTTTCCTCTGTTGAGAGTGGAGAACCTTCCAGAAGACCAACCATCTCAATCGCAATCCACCAATCAGACCTGTATGGTAGACTGGCCAGACGAAAGCCACTCCTTGATAAAAGGCATTGGCGCCCCGCATGGAGTTTGCCCAATAGGCACCTGAAGGATTAAACCACGAGAAACTAAATTATCTGGTCTGAGATTGAACACTTTGGTGTGAACACCAGGAATAAGGTTTGGAGGAAACCAGGACAATACCACCACTACAGTGAAGAATGGTGGTGGTAACATCATGCTATGGGGATGTTTTGCAGCAGTAGGAACTGGGAGACTAGTCAGGATGGAGAGAAAGATGAATGCAGCAACCTACAGAGACAACCTGGATAAAAACTTGCCTCAAAGCGCTTTTGACCTTAGCCTGGTGCACTGGTTAATTCTTCAGCAGGACAACGACCCAAAGTACATGGCCATCATCCCAAAGGAGTGGCTTCAGAGCCCTGGAGTGACCGAGCCAGAGTCCAGACTTGAATCTGATAATGACTGTACAGATGACTCCATTCAGCCTGATGGGGCTTGAGAAGGACTGTAAAGAAGAATGGATGAAACTGCTCACCTGAGCTAAGCTTGTGGCGTCATATTCAAAAAGACGTCAGGCAGTAATTGCTTCTAAAGGTGGATCAACAAAGTATTAAGCAAAGACTGTGAATATCTACGTAAATGTGATTTCTCGATTTTCTGTTTTTTAATAAATCTGTAAAAAAAAAAAAAAAAAAAATCCACATTGTCATAATGGAGTATTTGTGAGTAGGATTTTGAGGAAAGATATTAATTTAATATAATTTGGAATAAGTCTGTAACATTACAAAATGCGGAAAAAGTGAAGCACCTTCCGGATCACTACATACCAGCAGGAGGCTGCTCAGAGACCTATTTTATGCTTGAGGTAGAGGAACTATTCAACGGGTTTCTGGCATGGGAATAATTTCATGTGGAGAGAGAGGAAAACATTTAGGTCTGCACTCATTTATAGCTAATATGTAAATAGCACAGATGAGTAATGTCTGTTATTTCTTAATCCATCGTATGTGATGCAAAGAAAACCTACAAATCCATATATCTGGCAGGAAAAACAATGCATCTATGCTGACACGTTCTCTCTTTGTGCTCACCAGGTCCTCCTGCTCCTCCCTCTAACCTTGAGTGCTTCAGACCGTGCAATCCGACGCACTGTTCAGTTATCGAATGCATTTGGGATCCAAAACCCCCCCCAGATATCGGTCCTATCTACACCCTTCACTGGAAGCCAGAAAATGAAGAGTAAACGCACTTGGCAAATTTCTGCTCTTAATCTCCCAAAATTAAACATTTTTAGGCCCTGCTTTTTTTTTTTTTTGCCTTGGCCTGTCCTCTCACATCTTCTCCTGCTTTTTTTCAGGGAGAAGCCTGTGACCACTCGGAATAGCTTAGACGGGAAAATCTGTCGGGAAAACTTCGAGAGCCATGGAGAACTCCGGGTTTGGGTACAGAATCAGAATGGTTCTGTCAAATCTCAGGAAATTGTTATCCACACCCAGAACATCAGTACGTCTACTCCCAAGTTTTTCTAATGAAGTCAGACAGAACAATCCCCAATAGCTGAAATAAATAGATATTGCTGATCCTATTAGAATACCTTCCTTGTATTACTTTTGTGACTCGTACATCGGATTGAACGTTTTCAATCCGATGTACGATTGAAAACGTTCAATCTGACATTAGGCAGAGGACCAAAGATCTGCCTGATTTTTGGTCCTCTGTCTCTTCCCCAATCACACCAGTCAAGCCGCCTCCACCTACAATCACATTAAGCGAGGAAGATCCGTTAG